GACTTGCAGTTGCCTGAAGAGAGAGCTAGGAGGTGAGATAGAGATGGCCCGTGGCGGCCCAGACACTGGGAGGTGAAGCAACATGCCGGCTGGCTGTCTGGGCCCTGGGAGACACTTTGTAAATATCTGTCGATTTATTACTGGATGATAGCTGAGTCCAGGCTGACCCTTGGGGGCACCCCGGCACCCCAGGTGCCATCCATTGCCCAAATGCCGAGATATGCGGGGTTTCTTCTCAGTGGAAGAAGAAATGGCAGTTGGGAGGAGGAGAGAAACGGAGGGGAGACGGCTTCCTGGCCAGGCTGATGGACAGAGGTTCTGGTGAGCAGGGAACTAGCTTGTGGAAGACCAGGCTGGCCCTGGCCCCAAGCAGTGCCCCTGTGAGTCAAGGCCGCGAGGATGGGGCTCTGCCATTGTCTACCCCCTCACCCTGTGGACCAGCAGGGCAGATTTGGTTTCCTGAAGGATCAGAGCATTTAGGTGCGACACACAGGGAGGACACCCGCAGAGAATGCTGGGGGGCAGCGCCTCTCTCTCTCCCCCCCTCAGAAGTGACTGGAGGAGATACTGAAGACAGGTGGCCAAGCGCTGCCGTGATGAGCATCGGTGCATTTACCCCCTTGCTGGTATCCCCAGGTCTGTAAGTTCTGGGATACGGTGATGACGGGGAAGACGAGGCAGGTGTCCCTTGTTCATTTTTTTTTTTTTTAAGATTTATTTATTTGTACATACAGAACTGGGGTACAGGCCAGAGGCTCAGGGGCGGCGAGAGGCTTCACCAGAGACAGAGTGGGGAGCAGAACAGGCAGGTGGATGAAGTACACTGCTGAGGGGAGCAGCGGGCGGGCCAGGAGAGGTCTGCTGTGCCATGTGGGTCACCTCTGGGGCAGGCGGGAATCAAACTCATGCGGAAGTGGCTTTAGCTTCTCAGTGCTGTGCTTTAACCCGCTGCGCCCCCAGGGAGGGCCGTCCCTTGTTCATTTTTAAGCAAGTGTGTAGTGAGCCTCTGGGTGCCCTGAGCAGTGCTGGTTGCTGGGTATGTGCTACAAAGCCAAGATCACCCCCCGCCCCAGGGAGCCCCCCAACGGCCAAACCAGGAAAGGCGTGGTGGTGGGGCACAACATGACCCAGTGGGAAGCACTCTTAGATTAGGGGCCAGGAAGGACTATTCAAGAAAGTGGCATTTAAGATGAGACCTGGAGCTGTGTGGGGCTAGCTAGGTGAAAGTGGGGGAGGGGGGTGCATTCCAGGCAGCAGGTGTGAAGGATTTGGGGACACATCCTTGGTGGATGGAGGCTGAGAAGTCGGTGGGGGAAGCAGTGGAAGAGGTTGTGGGGGGGGGAGGGGCCAAACCCAGGTGCTCTCCAGGGCTTTGGATGGGAAACCATGAGCGTGGGAAGGGGGTGATGTGATGGGATTCGTGCTTTAAGGGAGATGGCCGGGGTGTGCGTGGAGAAGGGACCGGAGCTCAGAGCACTCAGGGAGCAGAGTAGAAGCTGCAGGAACTGCGAGATGGTATAGTCATGGCTGTGGTGATGGAGACGAGAGGAGGAAACCGACAAGTCTTTAAAAGAAGACCTGGGCCTCCCTGGTGGCGCAAGGGATTATGTCTCAGCACTGTGAAGCTGTCGGCAGCCACACAGCACGAGTTCCATCCCCGGCCGGCCAGGGAGTGACCCCCAGGGCGCAGCGGACCTCTCCTGCCTCCCCGCTGCTCCCCTCGGCAGTGTGTTTTGGCCCATCTGCCTGTTCTGCTCCCCACGCTGTCTCCCACCAGCCCCACACCTCTGGCCCGTACCCCAGTTCTTCTATGCAAAAACAAACAAATAAATAATAGATGGGAGAGAACACATCTTTGCCATGCCTCGCCTTGGGTCACAGGCTGAAAGGCCAACTGTGTGCAAGGTGAACACGTATTCCAGCCGGGTTCCTCTGTCCCCAGGTGGCCCGTTTTGCTTTGGGTTAGCCGAGACCCAGGGAGGTCTCCGGCCAGCCCCCCACCGTGTTTCCTGAGAGCCAGCACAGTGTTTTCTGTAATCTCTACTGCTGTTCAACGCAATTACAAAGAGGAAACTCTGTTTTCATCCAAAAGCTTCTCACCGTAATGTTTTTGAATCTTGAATGCAGTAGACAGGCCAACGTCCTGCGTGCCCCGGGCTGCCAGACGGGACTGATGCACCAGTACAGACTCACGTCTGCTTGTCCCGCAGCCAAGCAATGGAGTCATTTGCGACGAAGGAAAATGCCTCAATGTCCCCAGAAAATTGGATTTGAAAATCCATTCCGGTTTCTGCAGCCGTTGTGCTGACTGCCAGGTTTCGGCCCTCGCTCAGAGGGGGCCAGTGGCCCCCGCAGCGCCACCTCTCGGCTTGGTAGACACGTGGGAGCGACCAGAGCCTGCATTTTTAGCACACTCCCAGGCAGCTGGCAGTCGCTCCCCTGAGCAGGCCGCCTGAGAGCACCTGAGGCCACTGAGAAGTGGGTGGGCAGTGGCAGTGCCAGCTGTTTGCGATGCAGCGAGTCTCAGCAAGAGGCTAGGAGACAGCAGCTGGCCCAACAGGAACTGGCCTTTCTCTGGAAGTCCCTCGCTCCCAGGTCACGCAGCCGGTTCCCTGCACTGGCCGCAGGGCGTGGCTGTTTGCCTGGCTATTGGGAGAGGCCGGCTCCAGGGCTGGCCCACAGGGGAGGCATCTCGCCCTGGGCTCCCCAGGCCGCACCAGAGACCCAGGGGTTAGCCGGCCAGCGTGGACGGCTGGGGCCTGAGTGCAGGCTCCGCCACTCCCTTCTGAAGCGAGCCACGCCCGCGCACAGGGCCGAGGGCGTCTCAGCACCGCCACCAAAGACTCACCCACTCTGGCCCCAGCTGGGACAGAACAGCCAGGCCTGGGGTTTCTGCCCCCACGCGCGGCCGGCCGTCCAGACCAGCACCCCGCCCCCAAGCATGTGAGGCACGGACACTGGACACTGGACACTGACACTGGACGCCGCTCGGCAAAACAAGGGCGCTGCTTTTATTGCTGCTTTCCCGAGAAGTGTTTCGAGGTACAAAATCAAGGCCGAACCGAATTGCTTCTGTCTTGACTGGGGCTGGTCCTTCCACACAACCAGACAAATGGATGAGGTTTGTGGGCTGTTGGGAGCGTATAGATTGTAAATACTGTAAAATCAAACATCACTTTTGGCTTGTGTTTACTGTAACATGTTCACGTTCCGTAGCACCAGAATAGCTTATTAGGGCGCCCCCCCCACCTTTATCCTCCCCGCCCCTCCCCCCTTGTGGTATCTGCCCCCCACCCCCACTGTTCATTTCTCTGCTCTGATTCTTCCTCCCCCACCCGCCCGGGCCTCCTTCCTGCCCTGTCTGCACAGGCTCCTCACCCCAATGTCCCCCTCGCCACCCCACTTCCCCTCTTGTCCCCGCCCCCTCCCTGTCGCTCTCGGGCTGCTCTCGGGCTCCTCTCGGGCTCCTCACAGGCTCCTCACAGGCCTCCGCCACCTTCTGCCCTTTCATTCCCCAAGGACCGCTGCTGCTCCTCCTCCACGCTCACACCCCTGCCGCTCGGCTATTTTCTCTTCCCTCCAGAGCCCCTACTTTCTCCACGTTCCTGTAAAGGCGACGCGGGCATCAGAGAAACGTGGGATTCGGGGTTAGAGGGACACAGGCTATGTCGCCCTGACAGCTGCTTCCGACTCAGGACCTCTTTCGTCTTCTGTCACCTTGCGTAGCGGCCGTCCCTCCTCAGAGCAGGGGGATCAAGCGCCAGCCCCTTCCACAGCGCCCCAGCACTTTCTTCCATGTCTGAGCAAATACACATGCACGCACCCCCCCGACAACACACACACACACTCCCCGCAGCCCCCCAGTGCTTCCAGACTTCCCCAAGCACCAGCTGCCTTCTCCCGGGCCAGGCTGCACACCCCCAATTCTATTCTGCAGTAAGAAAAAAAGGGAAACCGGGGGGTCCCTTCCCCAGGGGCGGCTCCTGGGAGAGGTGTTGGCACATGTCCAACGGCACAAGGACCGAGAGCTTGTGCAAAGCCAGCTCCCGTGGGGCCGAGCTCGGCCAGGCCCGCCAGCCAGAAGCAAGGCCGACAGCTGCACTCTTCGGAGGCGGCTTCCCTCCGGGCCACCGGCAAGGCGTCTTCAGAAACACAGACCAAGAGGGAAACCAAGTTGAGCCCCGAACAGACCACCTAGTCACCACAAAAAAGAGGGCTCTGAAGTCCAGCCATGCTGCAAGCGCTTCCCTGAGTCGTGCGTGGATCTGCCTTCTTGGTAGTCAGGGAGACGGAGGTGTCACCCCAGTAAGCCTCTGGGAAAAACCCTCCGTTTTCAGCACTCGGCGCCTCGCAGTGTCTCGGCTTGTCCGTGTCAGCCACAGGAAGGGGGTAGCTGAGGAACGCGAGTTTGCTGGAGACGGGGGTCTGGGCTGAGCAGAGACCAGAAGGCCAGCCTTGCCCAGGCCTGGACACCCGCCGCCCAGGTCCTTCGCACGCCGCCTGCTCCCAGCTCAGATCCGCGTGGCTGCGTCTTGCTTCTCCATCCGGAGAATAGGCAGGAAGTGACCCCGAAAGCCCTCAGGCTGTGCGGGGTGTGCCGTGAGCCAGAACGTGCCCCACCAAGTCCGACCCCGCCCTGGTGTTCTGTGTCCGGCGCTGGGAGCGGATGGCTTGGCTGCCCTCAGTGAAAATCCCCAGACAGGAGGAAGTGATGTCACCGCCGGGACCGGATGAATTTCAGTTTCATTTCCCTGCCCGCCCCCCGACTTCCCCACACCCGCTGAGGGCAATAGAAAAAGCAGTACGAACGTCATTCTCACCCGAGCCGCTTCCATACCGGCCAGTTACCCCACCAAGTTGCAATAAATTAGTCTCCTACACATGCTCACGCAGGTCTGCTTGTCTACACCCGTGCTCGTGTCTGTGCAGACCCAGCTCTTCACCCCGGTCCCGTCCCTGGCAGACAGCTTCGGACAACGGCCTCTGACCCCCGGAGGGTGTCATCGGCTCAGCGGGGCCACGTAGTTGGCAGGGAAGAGGCCCAGCTTGTCGCGCAGGCGGCCGGCCCACCAGGACGGGTGGGAGCTGTCCAGGACCTCCACCACCTCTCCGCAGCGGAGCTCCAGCTCGTCGTCCTCCAGGGCCTCGAAGTCGTACAGCGCCCGGGCCCACCGCACTCGCTGTGGGGGCAACGCGGAGGGCCTGCTGAGCGGGGTCTGGCCTGGGACCCCGCCACCCCCAGAGCCCCGCCCCGAGCACAGGCGTCAGGGACTCAGCCGTCACTGCAGGCACCAGGCTTTTACCCACAGGCGCTTCTCCAGACCCACGGGCATCGCTGGGCCTGGCTCTCCCTGTGCCACGCGGGGGTTTTTCATTCTCTGCCAGTGCTGACACAATGGCGGGTCCCCAAGTGCCCACCCTCGGCCAGCACAGCCAGTCAAACCCATCTCACCCACCCTCAGCCCACAAACGTCCTGCTGGAACCAGAACGAGGAAGATGGGGCCTGGGCGGGGCCGGGCGGCCAGAGTGAGAACAAGAGTGGCTGGCGCCAGGCGGGGTCTGCTCCAGCTGGGCTGCCCCTCCCCTCACTCCCGGGTCCCTCACCTCCTCCTGAGCGCCTCGCCTGGGGCCGGGAACCTCTCTCCCGGAGAACAGACTGTTCTCTGACCGGCCCAGCACAGCTGCCCCTGAGCACAGATGGGATTCACCTACCCCGGCCACCTGGAGCTGCACTGGGTCCGTGTGTCGCCGGTGCATGAGGGCGGCGTTCATCTCGCTGGGCACGCCCGTGGCACAGTGGCTGTCGTTTATGTCAAGGCTGCCTCCACGGCGGTCCTGGAACAGGCATGAGGAGCTTCATGACCCTGCCACACCCTCAGAGGCTCCTGGGCCTGGCGTCGAGGCCAGGGCGAGCCAGGGGCTCCCTAAACTCCAGATGATGGCGAGGGGGAGGGACGACAAAGGAATCACAGGTGTGCAAGGTCAGGCTGACGGCAGGTGTCACTGATCTCAGTCGGAATATTTACCTACTGGATGCACTGTACGAGTGCTGCCTGTGGGAGATGGAGCTGAAAGGAAAGGCCCAGTCTGCCTGGTCATACAGAGCTGAGCGATCAGTGGGCAGAGGAGACGGTCCATGTCAGCCCGAGGAATCTGAGGGCTGCATAGAGGGGGTGATGCTTGAACACCAGCTTAAAGGCAGAGTGGGAGTGGTCAGGAAAAGGCCCTGGAGGCAGAGGGAATAGCAAGCTCAAGCACAAAGGTGAGGAAAGTGCCATGGACCACCTAGGTAACTTGAGGCGGGGAGATTGCTGCACAGCCTGCTGCATGGGGAGGTGGGGAGGCAGATGTGGGCATCTCACAAAAGACTTGTCCGCCCTGCTAAGGAATTTAGGAGTGATGTTATCTGGCTGTATTGTCCATCTCACTAAGCTGCACAAAACCCCGTCTGGAACAACACAGGGGATAAATAAATAAATAAGCCAGGCTCTGCTGCCTGTTTATCCGCGCGCGCGCGCGCGCGCGTGTGTGTGTGTGTGTGTGTGTGTGTGTGTGTGTGTGTGTGTGTGTGTATCTGGACAGCTGGATCGGTTCAGGGGCTGGAATGGATTTGGAATTGTACTGATAGGAAAATAAAGCGCTTGCTCCTGAGGCCTCAGAGAGGCTGTGAGC